GTTGCTGCCTGGCCTTGGTTTGGAGCTCTTGTGGCAAACACAGGGATTGTGTAGGAAAAGGGCAGGCAGGAAACCTCAGTGGCATGGCTGAGAGCAGAACCCCTAAATCCATCCCAAATCCACAAYCAACCCTTTATTGATGGAGCAGCCTCATTCATGCTTCTCAAAATTACAATCAGCTTGGGGCATGACAGGCCAATACACATTTAGGGAGTATTTCATTTTTCCCAATATTTTTTTCCACCTTCAGAGCTGTGGGAAAGCCCTTCCCTGCCCATCACTGAGAACTTCACCACGGAGGAAAGAAGTGGAGCAGCAGATCCACAGGAATCAGGAGAGGAGGGAAAGGCTTCAGCACTTCCAGCCCACTGATTGCACCTCCTCAGCTCCCTTGTTTTTTCTTAATTAACAATGCTTTTATCACTCTGCACTGCCTCTCATTAATCAGGAATCCAGAGCTAATCAAGCCAACAGCAAACTTCCCATTTCSTCAGTGCCAAGTAACACAAAGACCTTCAGCCCCAAAACATGTTCCTTCTGATTCTCTAAGTTCTCAGCGAGCTTTCACTTTTCTCCTCTGGCTTTTCTGGAGCTCAGATGGCAGAAAATTGCCCTCCCACCCTGTAAAGCACAGCCTGGAGGCTGCAAAGCTGAGGGGAAGCTCTGGAAGAGGCCACACAGGGTGTGGGTCTCTCCTTGGTGAGGTTTTGGGSTTTGTTTCCTCTGTGCACAGGAAATCTCCTCATCACAATGAGGTCCATGCCTAGAGGTGACCTCAGCATCCCTAAACCCTGTGGGACGGTGACAGAGGATTCCCAGGAGCTGAGCTGCCCTCGGTGTCATTGCTGCATCCCCCAGATGTCATCGTGCCCAGAAGGGGCTGGGAACAGAGCAGAGAAGGAGGGAGAGCCCTAATGGGGGGTTCCTGGGTGTCTGGGATGGACGCAGTTCTTGGAATCACTTACGTTTGTGAGGGGGCACCAGCAAATCCAGAGTCTTCTGGGACAGGTTGGGCCACACCAGCGAGATCTCCTTCCTCAGCTCAGCATCACACTGGTGCTGCTTCACCCCACCTGCAGCCAGGGAGGGGACAGGGACAGGGTCAGAACCCACTGCTGGCACCCCCATTCCCCATCCTTGGGAAGGGAGAGCCAGCACAGCCTTTCCCTGCRAAGGGGAGCCGTGAATTCCTGCATGACAGAAGCGCTGTGAGCTCAGCAGGACCAGCCTCGCCTCGATCCGGGGACCCTGAGCAGTGACTTGGGAATCCTGAGTAGTGAGCTGGGACTTCAACTGAAGCTCAAACTTATTCCARATATCTGTAGGTGCCTCTTCCTTTGGGGAGTGCCCACGGAAAGCAGCAGCACCTCCCAGGTGGGATGGAAAGGAGTTGGTGTGAGGTGCTGGACACAAATCACAGAATCACGAAATCATGGAAACACAAAATCACAGAATCACRAAATCTCAGGATGGTTTGGGTTGGAAAAGGCTTTCAAGATCCTCTAATCCCACCCTCTCTGCCATGGCAGGTTCACCTTTCACTGAGCAATGTCCTGATGGATCACAAACCCTCTGTCACCCACTCTTCCTGAAATCCTCAGCAATGACACTCRAGCCCAGTGCTCCATCCCAGCAGAGCCAAACCCACCAAACTCCATTCCAAGGGCCAAAGCCAGGGCTAGAAGCCCACGTGGAAGGTGATTAAAGGCTGTGTGAGCCCCAGGCCAGCTCCCAGCTGAATTCCTGGCACAGCAGGCAATTAAGGAGCTCATYTGAATGACACAGATTATTTCTGCGAGAGCAAAGCGGTGGGAGGAGGCTCTGCGTACTCTGTTAAAGGTTTGAACTCCCACACGGGAACTCATTAGGGAGGTTCATTAAGGGCCTGTTAGGCCCACTAAAGACTCAATTAAATGTAGCACATGAAACCTATTCAAAGAGAGCTCATAACAACAAAACAGGTCAGGACCTCGCAGCCTAGAGCAGATCTAAACCGCAGAAAGAACCCAGCGCACCAGCTGAGCTCCCCACCCTGGCTCCCTTCCAGATTTTGGTCAGGGTGGGGGGGAGATTTTCCTACTGAAAAAGGCTGACAGGTAACCAGAAACTGAAAATAATAAACTTGCAGCGTTTTTATCTAGAAGCTATTCCTGAAATAAGGGGCTGGACTTCAAAGTGACAGGAAATCCTAAATGCATCCTTAGAAAGGAGACTGATCCTTGCATCATTCCCTTGGGGGGCCCCAGGAAACCTCAAAATTTTGGCATTTTCCAGCAGTGCCTCCCCAAGGCAACAAAGTTGAAGAGGTAGAGGAGGAGGTGATTAACTCAGGGAGGCTGCACCAGCCTGAAACCGCTTTGGAAAGCACAAGAGCCTAACCCTGGCTGCCCTGAGAGCCTCGTTACCTCCTGTTAACTTTTAAACGAGGTGTAAAAGTGCCCAGGGCAGGCAGGCCCTGCCCGTGACCCCAGCCAGGCTGACGAAATGGGGAAACGACCCAGAGGAAAGGCCGATGGGTTTTATTGCATCGCAGAGTTTAATTGGGAAGTTGAGCGAACGCCTGATTAAACACTTTGATAATTACATTTCATCTCAAGGCGGAATGTGGTTCCTGGCATTTGGAGTCCCTGCCAGCGTGGAGCAGCTGGGGAGGAAGGGCTGGAATAGTTCAGAAAAGAGGAAAGGCTGGGATAGTTCAGGAAAGAGGGGTGGGAATGCTCATTTCTGAGGCAGAGCAAGGAGGGATTCTCCTCCCAGAGCTCTCAGCTGGGAGAGAAGTTCCCCACATCTCATGGCCACCCCAAAGGGGCTCTCGGGACCCCTCTGTCTTGTCCCCAAGTCCCCATCCTCAGGTGCTGGTATGGGAAGGAAATGGGAAAACAGGATTCTAATCTGGGGTAGAATTTCCATGGTTTCAGGGAACACCAAGACAGCAGATTCCATGGAGTACTCTGAGCTGGATGGGACCCACAAAGATTGGGTCCAACCCTTGATCCAATCCAAGGATAAATCTGTGCCCTTGGTGTTCCTGGCACTCTGTTTGACCAACTGAGCCCATCTTGGGCTCAGGAATCGGTTTGAGCCACGGGAACTCTGAGCAAACTGTGGTTCTCCTCCTCTGGGTTTTCTGGAGCTCAGATGGCACAAACTCCTCTCCCACCCTGCAAAGCTGTGGGAAAGCTCTGGAAGGGGCACACAAGGTGTTGGTCTCTCCTTGGTGCTGTTTTGGGGTTTATTTTCTCCGTGCACAGGAAATCTCCTGTAGTACAATGAGATCCATGCCTAGAGGTGACCTCAGTGTCCCCAGTCCCTGTGGGACGATGACAGAGGATCCCAAGGAGCTGAGCTGCCCTTGGTGTCACTGCTGCATCCTCCAGGTGACCCTGAGACCCCCTGAGCCACCCCGTCCCCCTCACCTGAGGCCAGTTTGATCTCCAGGTGACCCAGCCACCCTGTCCCCCTCACCTGAGGCCAGTTTGATCTCCAGGTGACCCAGCCACCCTGTCCCCCTCACCTGAGGCCAGTTTGATCCCCAGGTGACCCAGCCACCCCGTTCCTCTCACCTGAGGCCAGTTTGATCTCCAGGGCGGTGCGGATCAGGGCCATCAGCGTGGAGGTGAAGTGCACGGTCAGATCCTCAGGAGAGATGGGCATGTTCATCCTCACCAGGCGCTGGGGACACACAGGGCTGGCTGTGAGCGGGGCCACCAGTCCTCCCCCCACCCCCCTGYCCCTCTGAGAGCCCCAAAATACCCAGAATACAAACAGGAAGGAACTTGTTGTGTGCTGAGCTGGAATGCTCCTGCCTGTGGATGTCAGCTTCTGTTCAGGAGTGGGTCTGGGATAGAATTTTCCAGAATATCTACAGGTGCAGAGTGTGGAATTTCAACCCTTTCTGGGCTGCTTTTAAATTTTACCTCTATTTAATTCCTCCACATTTCCACATAATCCATTTAAAAGGAAGCCAATTGAAATTGGTAAAATTTCTCAAACTCAAAATATTCTGCTTGACCTAAAATTTATCTTAGAAAAGTTCATCAAGAACTTTTGATTTTCATTCTTAAAAAGTTAGAAGAGAATGGAATCACTAGTTGAACAAGTGATTTGCCAGCACTGCAGTGCAATCCTACAGAGTTCTCCTCAAAGAAACTGGGTGAGATGCTCTCATCCCATTTCCTGACTGTCCCCAGTGGTGTCTGCAGTGCCCAGACAYGTGGCTGGCACCTGTCACCCCTGACAGGTGACACAAATGTGCTCAGGAGACCTAACCCCAAATCCATCCCTCCACCCTTTCCTGCACCAGTTGGCCTCACCTAAATTCTTCCCCTAAACCCTAAAACAGGAGCAATAGTGACAGSTGGGAACTGCTGATCCCTCAGGATTTCAGTTTCTCTATTTCCATGTCTCTGTACCCCTGGAATTCTTCAGTGTTTAACTCCAGACTCCACAGACAGYGCTGAGCTCCTGCTCTCCCATTTTTACACAAAACAATTCCTCTGCAGCCCCAAACTCAAGGACACCTCCCTGTGCCAGAACCAAGAGATGGAAACAACAGAGAATTGGGGGAGCCAAGTTGGAGTTTTTGACTGCATTGGCTGCAGCTGCAATTGGAGGATTCAGCAAATCCCGATGTGCAAATGGACAAAAGTGAGAAAGGGTGAAAAAGCCGTGAGCTGAGATCTCCTGATTTATCTCATTACACATCTTCAGCTCTCAGTGCACGCTGCAGGGACAGGAGGTCACTGTCACAACCTGCCCNCAGCTGCAATTGGAGGATTCAGCAAATCCCGATGTGCAAATGGACAAAAGTGAGAAAGGGTGAAAAAGCCGTGAGCCATTGTCCATTGTGGGTGCAGCCCCTGGCTGGGCTGGGACTGCCCTGAATGGCCCTGAAGGCCCTGCAATAACAGAACTGCTTTGGATTCTCTCAGTTCTGGCCACACTCTGCTTTAGGCAGCCGGATTTAGCATCACTGGTGCTGTTAAATGCAGTTCAGATGATGGAGGTTTGCATCTGCCAGCCGAGGATGCAGCTTCATCCCCATGGGGGCTGTGCCCTCCCAGCTGTCCAAGTGAGCAGGGTGTGAGGATGGCACTGCCAGTGACAGTGGCACTGTGAGGGCTCTCTCCAGGAGCTGTGAGGTCCCTGGAGAGTGACTGGGATTTTGTTCCCAGCTCGAAGAACATTTGGAAACAGAGATGGAGGCTGGGATATGGCTCTGGTGCTGTGGGGCAGCTTGGAAAGGTTCCAGGTAAAGATGTCTGTGTCCTTCTGCTGGAGATAACCTGGATTCTGTCTCTGATCTCCTCTTCCCAGTGGAGACACTGGGATTCCAACTCTGATCTCCTGTTCCTCATGGATACACCAGGATTCCAGCTCTGATCTCCTGTTCCTCATGGATACACCAGGATTCCAGCTCTTATCTCCTCTTCCTCATGGATACACCTGAATTCTGTCCCTGATCTCTTCCTCATGGACACACCTGGATTCCAGCTCTGATCTCCTGTTCCTCATGGACACACCTGGATTCCAGCTCTGATCTCCTGTTCCTCATGGACACACCTGGATTCCAGCTCTGATCTCTTCCCAGCAGCCAATGAGCCCCCCAGCTCCAGCCACACCTCATCCAGAGAGGCAGAGGCTGGATTAACACGGGCAGGGCTGTAATTCCCAACGTGTTCTTCCAATCCAAACAAAATTCCTCTTCCCACAAGGTACTGGCCCAATGGAAAATCTGCTCAAACAGGCTCAGAGGAGGAGCTCCTCCCTGCTCTGAAGATCTTGGAAAATCGTGACCCTGAGGGATGGTTCTATGCTTGGCTTGGAGCTGAGATCTCCTGATTTATCTCATTACACATCTTCAGCTCTCAGTGCACGCTGCAGGGACAGGAGGTCACTGTCACAACCTGCCCTGTGTCCTAAAGCCCGGGACAAACCCTTGTGATCTCCCAGATTTCCCCAACAGCATCCCCAGAGGTTATTCCATGTCTGCCCAGCCTCAGAAACAGGGAAATCAAAGCCCAGCCTGTCTTCCCTGTTCCATCAGTGACAGTATTGAGTGCTGGCAACACCACAGGGTGTTTTTCTGTTTGCTCGTGTCAAATGAAGCAGGATTTGATTCAGATTCTGCCCTCAGCACACAAAAAGTTACCGAAAATACATCAATGAGAGTCTGGTTACCACTCACAGAGTCCCAGAATGCCACTGGAGTGGGAGAGAGTTTAGGGATGGAGAGACAAAGAAAATGCATGGAAGGGAAGAACAGGCAAATGAGAAAGAATTCCCCACAGGAGAGCTCTGTCCTCATGAAAACCAGCACCAAAACCCACTTTGTGACTGACACATCCCCACATCTCCCCAGCTGTCTTTCCAGGCTGAATTCCCAATGGATGTGGATGCAGAACTCCGGCCACATCACAGCTGTATAGAGCTGTATAAAGGTCTTTCCTCCTAAATTTCAGCCAGGGACAGAGGATTGAGGGCAAGATTTTCCAAGGGGGCTTACACTGGCTGTGCAAAACTCCCATTTGGTGAAAAAAAGGCACCTGGAAGAGGCTCTCTCCCCACTGCCCTTCCCTCCTCCCTGCATTTCCCTCTGCGCTGCACTGACTCCATCCCAACATCCAAACTGATCAAACAGGAACTCAGATCCCTCCAGAGCAGCGCAATTCCCAACTGAGAACCCAGCAAGGAGCAGGGAGAGGGGTTTGTGCTGCTCCTCCAGCCAGGGATGGGCAGCTCCAGCAGGCAGGAGAGGGGTGACGTGTCTCCCTCTCTCCTCTCAGGGTGGGGTATTTCAGCTGGGACATTTCCTCTCTCCTCTCAGGGTGGCAAAATGGGATTCTCCTCCTCTTGGACACAGCTCCTGCACTGCCAAGGTGAGCTGCAAGCTGCACCTTCCAGCTGCCCATTTCTCGGCCCCCAAAAAAGCCATAAAATGAGACAGAAGTGCCTCAGAACCCACTGCAGCCAAGGCCAAGAAGCCTCAGCTAAATCCACCCAAGATCCCTCCCAAAATCACTGCAAGCTCTTTTCTTGGAAGCCCCTGACTTGAGAAATCTGTCCCTTGAATGAATAAATGGGATTTCTGGAGAGCTCCTGCTGAAGATGGAGCACCTGGAAGGAAAGAATTGATTCATCTTTGATCTAAAACAGCTTTGCCACCACGGCTGGGACTGGTGAGGGAGGGGTTTGGTGGGACATTGCTCACCCCAAATCCCAAATCAACATCCCAAATCACTGTGGGCACCCAAGGGAGCCACAGGATCAACCAAGCACTGGCACAGCCAGGAGGGAATTGTTCCCTGAACATTGTCTGGTGCATTATCCCAGTGCCAGAAATGGAGCTGAAAGTGCAAACAAAAAGTTACATTAATTTTTCCTTTCAATATTATAAAATAACCTTCAACATAAAAATATCTCCTTGCACAGAGCGTGAAATTTCAACCTTTTCCAGGCTACTTCCTAATTTTATCTCTATTTAATTCCTCTGCATTTCCACAGGATCCATTTAAAAGGAATCCAATTGAAATTGGGAACATTTCTCAAAATGTTCTGCTTGACCCAAAATTTCCCTTTGAGAGATTCATCGAGAACTTTTGATTTTCATCCTTAACTGGTCTAGAAGAGAAACACACATTTCTCATGGACTAGCCACAAGAACACAGATTTAAAAACCAAACTGAACCAGTTGTTTAGACTGCACTCAGTTAAAAAAAAATCGGTTTTCCCCCATTTCTTTGCTGTTTTTTGTGGCTGAATTGATGCTTCAAGGCTGTGTCAGGGCAGTGGCTCATGGAAGGGGAAGGGGAAAGGGAAGGGGATGGAGTTAAGGAAGAAAAAAACAAGAAATCCCAACAACAACAAAAATAACCAAACCAAAACAAAAAAAAAAAAAAAAAGGCAACTCTAATTTGAATAACTTCCCATCTTTCTAGGAAGGAAAGAAGGACATTTTAGGAGTCTGCTGATCCTTCCCTGCGCTAACAAAGAATGTCCTCGGGATGCGCTGGGAATCTCCAGCCACAACCCCAAGTGCACTCAGGCGAATTACTGACGGACAACAGGAAAAAAAAGGTGGAAATCCTTCCCAGGTGCCCCGAGCCGGCAGGGAAGGACTCCCCAGCTCCTGTGGCTGCCCTCCTCCCCTCCGGGGCGGCAGAGCAAGAGCAGCCGGCAGCAGGTGGAGTCCCCGCTCCGATGCGCCGGCCGAGCGCGGGGATCCCTCCCGCAGCCCCGCATTTAATTAGGCGGATTTGGAGCTCGTTAATGCTTCTGCAGGAGAGGGCCCCGGGGGCAGCAGCCGCGCCGTTGTCTCCGGAGTCTCTTAATTAACTCGGCGCTGATAAGGAGCGAGGAGCTGATTAGAGCGGGGGTCGGGAGGCGGCGCGGGGTGCGCGGTCCGGGCGCGGTCAGGCGGTGCGCTCCCGCCGCAGCTCCGGGGCTGCTTTAATTGCCACAAACAAAGGCAGCGCTAACGAGGAACCACAGCTTTGTGGCAGGAGGAAATTCCCGTCCAGCCGCCGGTTTGTTGCGGGGTTTCTGCTCAGGAACTAACTCCTTGGGCAGTGTCCCGACAGGGAGGGAAAGTGGTGGAGGAATAGGGGGAAAATTCATCCTAGGATCCTAGCCTGACCCAGAAAAAGCTGCTGCACCCTCAATCCTCTCCCCTGACACATTTATCCTGAGTTAGCAGGAGAGGAGCACACAATGCCTGGAAAACTACTGGCACCCCGACGGGTTTGAATTATTAAGAGCACCCCATCAGCCTCTGGGACACGAGCTGCTCTGGGAATGATCCCCAGCCGTGAATAAATTCGGGACAGTGGAGCGCTGCTGTGGGAGACGAGGCTGAGTTTGGTGAATAAATGATTTGCCATGAATAATTCACCCCGACCTAGTTGGAATGATTCTGCTCCCGTTTAACTCTTCTGTTGGCCTCACAGAGCTCATCCTGGTGGAGCAGAGCCCAGCTCTGAGCTCATCCCGTGGAATCACAGAATCCCAGAGTGGTTTGGGTTGGAAAGGACCTCAAAGCTCACCCAGTGCCACCCCCTGCCATGGGCAAGGACAGTGAGCAAATCCTGACACACCAGAGTGAAGTCAAAGTGGTTTTCTTCCCTGTTTTCCTCTGACTGGATAGAAGAGATTTTAAAATTAATGGAATCATGGAATCATTCATGATGGAGAAGATGTGTGAGATTATCGAGTCCAACCACTGACCCAGCACTGCAAGGCCACCCCTAACCCGTGTCCCTGAGTGCCACATCCACATCTGTAGGGTTTTAAATCCCTCCAGGGATGGTGATTCCACTGCCTCCCTGAGGAGCCTCTTCCAGGGTTTAGGAATTGTTCCAGTGAAGAAATTTTTCATCACATCCAACCTGGCCCATCCTGAGGCCRTTCCCTCTCCTCCTGTCCCTGYTCCCTGGAGCAGAGCCCGACCCCCCCGGCTGTCCCCTCCTGTCAGGGAGTTGTGCAGAGCCACAAGGTCCCCCCTGATCCCCCTTTGCTCCAGGCTGAGCCCCTTTCCCAGCTCCCTCAGCCCCTCCTGGAGCTCCAGACCCTTCCCCAGCCCCATTCCCTTCCCTTGACTCGCTCCAGCGCCTCAATGCCCTTCTGGCTGTGAGTGGCCAGAACTGGACACAGGAATTTGGGTTCCTCCAGCCTTTCCCCCCTCCCCAGTGAGGACAGAGCTCTCCTGGTGCCTGAGCAGCGCATCCGGAGGATCTCAGGCGTGCACCTCCGGGAAGCAGCAAAGCCACGCACACGGAACTGCAGGGGCTGGTCAGGCTGACCAAGGAGAACAGTTGAGAAAGAGGAACCAGAAAACAGCAGAAAGGAAGGACAGCAGCCAAGGAGGCTGCAAAGAGGGGAWATCCAAACGAAAAACAGTGTGGACGTACTGAGAAGRCAACAAGACAGAGGGAAAACACACAAAACTTTTGAAGAGGAGTGGGAAAAGTAGACACGGAAAGAAAAAGGGGGGATTTGAGGGGCAAAAGAGCTTTTGCTGGGCAGGACAGTCAGGGTTTGTAAAAATCAGAGGGAGAGGGCAAAACCAGGGCAGAGACCAAGGCCTGGCTGCTGCTGGCGCTGACTGAGCTCCACTTGCAGGAGTGGGGGGTCCATGTCCCCCTCCAGGCTGGATCTGGGGGGGCTTCACTGTCCTCCCCAAGTCTGTCACCCATTTGGGGGGACATGAGTGACACCACAAGGGGACACCTGGCAGGAGCAGGACAGGGGATGCCACACCCCACCACAGTCACAGGGGAGATGCTCAGCACCAATCCATGGATGTGCTGCCCACAGTTCGAGGAGCCCTTCTGGTGGTGTCTCTGTTTAATTGTTTTGCTCATTCCTACAGCACTGTCCACTCTAACTAACTTCAATCTAATTACGAGGAGGAAAAATCAACGTTCTACTGAAGGGTTGGTGACCCAAAGAGCTCCAGGAAGAAAAATGGGGATCTACTGGGGAGGGGTAATTTGCTCATTATTCACCATCCCCAAATTAACCTCAATGGAAGCAGAAAGAGAGAGAAGAGAGAGGAACACTGATAGAGAGCAGAGACAAATTCAGGAACACAAACTGATGTGCCAGAGTTTCAAAGACCAGAAAAAAAGTTATTAAAAAAAATATATAAATATTAAAAAAAATTAAAAATCAGAATATCCAAAATCTCGCTCGGAAAGCAGAGAAAGCACCGGGAAAAATCCAGAAGAACAACACCAAGGCCACAGAAACCCCACTTCAGCCACGGCACGAGAAGCTGGCGGTTGGGCAGGAGCTCCTGGGGAGGGTTTCTACCTTATAGGCAACACGAGCTGGGCATTTCTTCCCAAGGCCTAGAGGTGGGGACATGTGTCTCAGCATCTCATACATGTCTGTGTAACTGATGCGCCCGCTGGCACCGCAGCGACCGAGGCAAAAGCAACAGGACACAGAAATCCAGCGGGATTGAGGCGGGGAAAACGGGGAACGGGTGGGGGGAAAGGCAACACAGTGGGAAAAATGAAAGGGAGAGAGAAGGGAAAGCAGACAAGAAAACAGAGATCTGGTTAATCAGATTTCTCCGGGAAACAAAATCAAACTCAAGAGGTGGGGTGGGAGAAGGGTGGATCCGCTTCTGTTGCTGTGGTTCAGTGCCCAACGTCTCCTCCTCCTGCAGGGACACGGCCCGTGGCCATGGGGAATGCTGGATGTCCCCTGGGGGATGATGGATGTCCCCTGGGGGATGATGGATGTCCCCTGGGGGAGAAGGGGTGGCAGGGCTGGGTTTGGCTGGCTCTGGTGGGGTGGGGAAGGAGGGTTCCCCATGGACCCCCAAACCAGCCCGTTCACCATGCCAGGGAGGGCTGGGAGGCAGAGTTATGGGACAGGGCTGGAGCAAAGTGCCAGCTTTCCTTCCAGGGACCAGCACTGTGGGTTGGGGTTGAGATGAGGGAGAAGCCAATTGTGGGGTGTTTGCTGAGGGGCAGACTGGGACCGTTTCCATCCTGATCTGAGGGACAAACTGGGACCATTCCCATCCCAGGGACAGACTGGGACCATTCCCATCCCAGGGACAGACTGGGGCCATTCCCATCCCAGGGACAGACTGGGACCGTTCCCATCCCAATACCAGGGACAGACTGGGACCGTTCCCATCCCAATATCAGGGACAGACTGGGACTGTTCCCATCCCAATATCAGGGACAGACTGGGACTGTTCCCATTCCAGTCTGAGGCTGGGACTCTGCAAATCCC